CTAAGTTTTCAGTGTCAGCCCTTGGCCATGGACTCTCTTGGGTGAGAACAGAACAAAGAGAAGCCAAGTAACGTGCTGACATAGACGGAGCTATCTCTCCTTTCCTTCCTAGTTGCAGCTCGGCCCCTCTTTCCTGCCTCGTTACTCGTATCTTCATCTACTGAGCTTAAAATCCTGACAGGAATGAAGGCGAGGAGGGAAGGGCTGTGTGGCACACATGAAAACAGTTTAGACAGAAGAGACAAAAACATTTAACAGCACTTTACAGTTTGCAAAATGACTTCGACTACATTATCTCACATAATTATCTGTGTTTTGCAGATAAGGAAACTGACCCCCAGAGATATGAAATGAATTATTTGTCCAGAACCACGGAGTTGATAAATGTCACAGCTGGTCCCCCTCCTCATCCTTCACCCCAGGCCATAAAATTGCCTTCCATGAAACTTAGGAAGTGGGGGGCACAGCAGGAGATGTGTGGCAAGTGAGCGAAGGAAGCTTCATCTGCATTTACAGCTGCTCCCCATCGCTCACTCGAACAAACACTCGAATCATGGACTGAGCTCCACCTCCCTCCACCCTCCCCATCCGTGGAAAAATTATCTTCCATGAAACCAGTCCCTGGTGCCAAAAAGGTTGGGGACCACTGCTTTATGCAAAGGCTAAGGCATCAGCCGGTACTCATACTATTTAATATTAATGTATGAAGAGTGTTTTTTTCCTTTAAATATGTCATGATTGTATTGCTAGACTTGTAATTATGAGTTTTTCTAAGAAGATTAATGCTATATAAATATTAACTGCTATCATTATTATTACTGCTACCAAAATTCATTTCATTTTGAGGAATTATTTAATTCAATTCTCTAAGTGTCTAGTGTCTTAGTTAAATAAAATATTGTCCATACCCTCAGAAAACAGAGAAAGCAGTTATGTAAACATACAGATGAACGTCACGTGAGGACTTCTGTAATGGACATCTGCCTAAGAGAAGGAAATAATATAGAGCCGTGGTTCTCAAACTTCATTGTGCCTCAGAATCACCGGGATAACTTATGAAAAAACAGATTTCTGGGCTCCACCCTCATAGTTCCTGATTCAGTAGGTCCGGGATGGGGCCCAAGAACGTGAATTCCTAACAAGTGCCTAGGGGGTATCAATGCCACTAGTCCAGAGACCACACTTTGAAAGCTGACGTTACTTCCATCTAAGGGTCGTAGAAGATATTGTAGTAATTACCCCCAGGCAAAGTTTGAAGAATTAAAATGCATTGGCCTAGTAAAATGGGTAGAATATCATTTCAGGTAGATGGAATAGCATACGTAAAGATATAGGCAGGTAAAACAAGGGGAACCACGAGGAATTTGTTATTGCCACAATCAAAAGAGAAGTGGACAGTGGTAAGAGATGAGCCTGAGCTCACGGAAGGCTTCATGTGCCGTGCTCAGGCAGGTGGTCTTTGTCCTGTATGCTGTGCAGAGCCGCTGAAACATTTAAAACAGACACTCCTTAGTCAAATTGGCATTTCAGAAAGTGAATTAATTTTTGTGCCAATATGAAGGTTTGGAAGAAAATCCCATTTATTGCCTTTAAACGTCTCTAATATTATGCCGAGGGATTAGTCGAATGTGTGTGCATCGTGGTATTTTAGTCAAACAGTTACTCAGTCCCTGTGTGCCATGCACATGTACAAGTCAAAGACATCATCCTTTCTGTCAGGTGCTTGTGGGAGGCGGCACTTACAGACAGGAAACAACAGAGCACAAGACAAGGCAGAAATTTACCAACGGAAGAAAAGAGAAAGGTCAGTAAGGGCTGAAGCAATCAGCCAGGGCATCACAGAGAAGGCAGAACACAAGCCGGCTTTGCTTGTGCAGTGGTGGCATTTGCAGGGTGTGAGGAGGGCATTATGGCCACGGGACCCTAGCGCAAAAGAACAAAAGGCGAACTAGACTTCGGATGCACAAGGATGTTGAAGAGGCTAGGGCAGCTGGTCAGCCTTTGGCAAGGGCTGTTCTTGAGATGTGGTGGAGAAGCAGAAAAGAGGTTTAGAAAAGAAATTTGGATCAAAAAGCCTATTTACACTGGGAATAACCTCTGGAAGAATTCTAGAAAAGGAATAAATTAGGGCAACAGAGCGATAGGAAATATAACGCTTCTCAACTAACTGCAAGCCTCCTCTCCTCTCTTATCACCCGAGGGCAATAGGAATGAAGGGGACAGGCTACAAAAGCTTGGGTTGAGGGGCAAGGGGCAGGGAAGATGCTCTGGGCTTTGGTTCTGATAGTAACAGTCGTTACTGCCTTGGGAGCTGGCCGTTGTCCTGAGAACGAGGTGGGTTGACGACCTGACAGCTCCTTATAAAAGACCGTCTGTCTGCCCTTTGAACTGGGATGCCGGCGGGAAGCCTTCCATTCCAGCTCCCAGATGATAACACAATGCACACCTGCAAGGGAGACTTCCTGGGTCATTTGCTTATTCCAAATTTTGCAAATACAGAAACGTTCTTGCACGTTGGTTTTGTGAGTTGTGTATTTCTGTGCATTTCTTCACTTAAGAACTTAACCGTCTTCAAAGCATTCCCTCCAGCTTTCTCTTCCATCCAAAGGGCAGTGTTTGTACCTACCGAAACAAATCCACAAATTGATTTTGTCTTGTGTCCTTATAAAGACTGATGGATTTGTTCACAGTGTAGATTGCAGTCACTGAATTTGACATTCCATACTCTCTTAAAATTATCTAAAACTTTAATTTTCTGGTTAACACATCATCCTTTTCTTAGATTGCTGTACTTTTTATTCTATTCCTAGGAGCAGCACATGACTTTTTCCTCAAGATCATTATTGCCAAAGAATTAAAACGCGTGCCTTCATAAAAGTGACTTCCTGTGCGACTATGGGTGGAAAGGCAGAGTGCCAATTTGATGGAGGGTGAGGCAGTGGGCATGGCTCAGCTAGGCTAGTCTCTGCCCGTGGCTTCGTCCCCACACCAGCCAGGCAGCCTGTGCTGGTGCTGCTCAAATTTAAACCTCATCAAATTAAAACTTACTACGCACTACGGGCTTTGAGGGCAAAGAGGAAGAGTTGAAGCTATGGCTATGAAATCAGAGATCCTGATGTTTCTGACTTTAGGGTGGGGGGTTTCATGACTTTAGGATACATTTGTCTGGAAATGCAGAGAGAAATCCACCCATTTTAATCAGATGTATAGCATTAAGCCCAGTGAACAAACCTTATTGAATTTCTCATTAACCATATTTAAACACAATCAATCTTAAATTTCCTCTTTATAAAATTTTGTCTCGGAAGAAAAGCAAAAGAAAAGGAGAGAGGGCGAGATTTTGCCAAAGGGTGTTTCCTGGGGTGCATGGCAACCGAAACGAAAGGCCCAGTTTTAATTGAATTATAGACTGTGTAATTATTTAACCTGTACCAGCTGGTCTCCAGAAGCTACCAGATTCCTTAGAGAGCTTGTACTTGGCTAGAAACATAAGGTACCTTATTAATACCAAGAAAAATGCTTTCTGTACCTGTGTTACCCCTAACCCCCAAAGAACATAATGTGAAAGGAAAAAATACTTTGAGGTTCGTTTTTGGCTTAAGAGGCAGTCATCCCTCTCTCTGGGTATGTGAGCGGATTTCCTAAAGCACCTGTAGTCTCTGAGGAATGGCCAACATAAACAGGGTATTATTGCATCAGGCAGGTAAGAGTAATTTCTCTAATTAGTCATTTGAGATTTCATTTTTCACTTGGAAATACTGGAAATTTAATTTGTTTGTGACACATAATTGGCAAACTGACAATATCTACAACTGTGCCTCCCTCTGTCTTGCTGTCCTGATATCCTGGGAAATGCACAAGGGAATCTCGATGTGGACGCTTTGCTTCAGCTATCGACATCAAGCTAACTAAAGTACCTTCTTATTGATAAATGTGTCCTAATTACACATTCTTCACTTGTAATGGTACAATAATTCTAATGAGTTTCCCATGGTCATTTTTCCTCTAGATTAAATGTTTTTTCTCAATCCCTCCAAATTTTGCAATGGCAAAATAATTTATGACGTATGCTCATTTACAGAAGCCCACTGTTCTTAGAGCCAAAGAGCGAAATGTTTTTAGGAAGCTGCATTTTATGAATTAATGTGTGAGCATGATTGAAGACAGTCCCTGACTTGGCTGTTGATTAAAGAAAGAGTTCATCCTATTTATTTTGTTTTAAAACACCCCACTCTAAAGAAAGATTGATTGGCATCAAATGTAGTCCCCATAAATCATAGCTATTGATTTTTGCATTTGTTTTAGTGCTTCTGATTTTGTGCCCCCTTGTGTCATAATTTGTCACCCTGATAACCAGCCCTGGAGTTGGTGCTGGGACTGAGCCTGGAAGGTGGTTTCTTTCAATTCAGCCAAATCTGCACGTGGTGCAGATGAGCTCCCAAACACAGAGCCACGCCCCTCTTACTTCTCATGACATTATCTTGGTATTTCCCATGGAGATTACAGATGCCACACGGTAAAATCTGTGGCAAGTGGCAACATCAGGGGTTTTTAGACCTGTCTCCTGACTGCCCTGGGTGTTGCAGGAAGCTGGGTGCTTCCCCACTTGGCTTTTGACACAGAAACTGACTGCTAGGATTTCGAATGCAAATATTAAGGCCGTCTTCTGGAAACTCTCAAGGTCAGACAATTCTTCTGTCTTTTACAAGTAGCAGAAGCAATGGGAGTAGATTATCTGCTGGCTATAGCCCACCTTTTGGGTAAAAGAAGGGCTGTTCAGCCTCTTCCTAGTCTCCGTATGCTCAGATGCTTGTAGGTAGAGCTTGGGGTGCTGCCACATCACCAAACAGCCCATTGAGTGTAAAATGAGGTGAACTTTCTGAATATACCTGCGGAACCCAAGTATCGCTTCTTGTGTTTTGTTTTTCTGGCCTATTTGGGTGAATGCTCTCATTTTAAATTGTTATTTTACACCCTTTCTCCTCTGGCTTCCCATTCAGTATTCAGTCACATCACTCAAGACCATCCCGGAACTGTGCCGAAGATGTGACTCGCAAACCGACGACCGATCAGGTAGGTTTTGCTCCTCACCTCCGCCCCTAATCCAGAGTCAGTGTTTAGGGCCCCAGGAAGGCTGTTTTCCCCACAGCGGTAGCTCCTGCTCTCTGTTTGCTTTTCCCTTTATGGCTTCTCCACTCACACCCCCCCAACCCCCACCTTCAACAAACAGATGTTAGGTCATCCAAAAAAGGATAACGGCACAGGGAGGCCCTAATGAGGACTCAGCTGTATACAAATAAATGTAAGAGATCATCTCGGCATCTCCAAACCACAGTGTATGCAGCAATTTACGGAAAACCCGAGAAACCATTGGTGACAAAACATAATGATGCAGGCGCCAATGAAAAAATGTTGGATGCATTTACTACCCATATGGCAAGGACCAGCTTGGGGGATGGTGCTTTGCCAAAGTCGGAAACCCTATCAGGGATGGGACATGATAGAATCTGCAATAAGCCATACTGTAACAGTTAAGATTAAAGCAAAGCTTTGGAGTTTAATAGTGTAAACTAAACAGAGAATTATGGCATATAGATGAAAACCAGCTGGTTAACCTTTTCTCCTTGCCCTACCCACCCAAAAAAAGTACATTCGGGCTTTTTTTTTCTTTTTTTTTTTCCTGTCTGTAAATCAAATTAAGCCTCTCTGCCTTTCTCTCTGTGATGGGTAAAAATGAAAATAAAAAGGGTTATTGATGGGAATGATACCATGATATTAAACTGTGAAACGATGTTTATTATTTTTTCCAAGTAATTACTCTAAGGCATCACCATTAACCTTGCCAAAGCTGGACCTCCTCTGATAATAACTGGAGTTCTGAGAACCATGGGTGATGGAAGGCTCAAGATAATCCTCAAATTACATATATCATGTTTAAAAATAAATAAATGTGCCTTACCTATACAGCTACTAGAATTCTAGGTCTTTCTAACTGAAAGGACTTTTACAAAACTAATTTACTTTTCCCCTGGACTGTTTGTTTTCTTTTGACATTTTGCTTAGATGAGGTGGAGAAAATAATGTCTTTCTAGGTTTGTTTATCTCCATGTTTTTGGTGAGAGTGAAAGTAATGCTTCCATGTTTGGGTCAGAAATATCACAGAAGATAGTTGTAAGTTCAAATAGAAGTTTTCATTTACCTTCAGTTTTTTATTTCAGCAACACTCAAGTTTCTATAGAGTTTAACAGAGGCTTTTGGCTATAAGCCTTATAAGGATGTGTCTCCTTAAAAAGCAGTGCCTGTTTCAAAGTGTCAGCAATGACTGTGATTGGTGACACAGGCCACAGACTGCAGCGGTGGGCCTGCCAACCTCAGATCACCAGACCTGGGTTCCGGTCAGAGTTCAGCCATTTGTCAGCTAAATGACCCCGAGCCTGTGACTAGTTATAAAATAAAGAAGAAACTTCCACCAGTGTTGCCAGGCTATTGTTAGGATCGAAATTAGATGATGTATCTGAAGATACTTTGCAGATACCAGATTCTTTTTTCTTTAATTAAATGTAGGAAATAAGAGAGATGAAATAATAGCAAATATGTTATTAGTGCTTAATATGTTGGGTACTGTTGTAAGCACTCTACTTACATTAACCCAATTAATCCTAAAATCCTTGTGAGTTAAGTACTATTAGGATGGTTATATGACAGATGGGCAAACTGAGGAACAGAGAGGAGCAGTTAAATATCTTGCCTGGCGTCACACAGCAATTAAGCTACAGAGCTGGGATTCAAAGCCCAGGAAGTCTGCCGTGAGACTCTTATCCCTTGCATATACTACCTCTCTGACAGTTGGGACTTAGTGGCAATAATTTAATTTTAGGATATTATCCTCTTAAAACTTTTACAATTAGTATTTTCCCTGATTAAGTGGTGAGCTTTTTTCCCTCTTTTAAATGAGTACTCTTACAGAGGTAAGTGAATAAACAGAAACTTTTAACAACTGTTTTTCCCGGGGCTAGTTCATTTCATTTTCTCTAGGTCTTGTAACTTCTAGCCCCTTCCACAATAAGTGGTGTTAGCCTTTTCTTCTGTGGTTGAGAAGGAGGCCAGTTTCAAGTTCAGAAGCTTTTAGACTTTACCCAGAGCAAAGACCCAGTGCTCAAGGTCATCAGCAATAATTAGACGTGACAGAAAATGGATTGTGGGAGAAAGATTTAGACCTGTTAATGGGATCGCATGTGCATTTACATTTCCAATTCAATGGACCATTTGGAGGCTGGCGAACCCCATTCTGGTAGATTGAGAGTAATGTCAGGAAAAGGAAGGCATGGAAAAATTCATCTGTGCGTAGCATCGCTGTAGAATTGTCTGTGGGCTCCTGTGAAAGAAATATCAACACGGTGAAGTTTTCAGAGCTAGTGTCTGAAAGGACTGAGGCATGATCACTCAGTTCCATGAACATTCAGATGTACAAATAACCCTCCCCACCCTGTCTTTCTTGTATCAACCACCTACAGGGGAGTTTGCTCTCCAGGACTGCTAGCGAATTCCCATCTTTTCAAAGGGCTGGCAGCAGAATGCACTTTGGCTTCTGAGAAAAGTCCACATCTTCTTTGAGATGAGATACCTCCAGGGAAACTTTTCCCCAAATTTTCTGTTTCTTAGAATATACTCCACCACTTCTCTTTACCTTTCTAGAATACATTAAGCACTTTCTATTTTGTATAGGTTGGCAAATGTTAACATCCATCCTCGTATGTATTAACAAGTCTCTGACCAGATGTTCTCATTTGTTCTCTTATTTATTTATTCAGTAAGTATCTGTTGAGTATTCTCTGACCCAGGCACTGGGGACATGGTAAAGAATAAGACAGATGAGGCCCCTGTGCTCATGGAGCTTATATTCTAGTGGGGGTGAGAGCCCAAAGGCAAACAAACAAATAGATATACTCATTACAGAGAGTGAGAAGAGATGACAGGAGAGAAGGTGGTGGATCAACTTGTGGGAACCCGGTAGGGGAGGCTAGAGGGGTCAGAAATGTAAGAAGGCCCTACCCAAGAGTGTCAAAGGCAGAGGAACTAGCAAGTGCAAAGTCCCTGAGCCAGGAATGAGCTCGGCAAGTATGAGGAAGAAAAAGAAAACCAGTGTAGCTACAGCATGGTGATCAGCAGTGAGGGGTGGCAGGACATGAGGGCAGAGACGGTCAGACTCCCAGGAGTTCAGATTTTATGCTAAGTGCAGTGAAGAGCACGGCCAGCGGGATTCCACTTGTTCTAAAAGCCTGTGACCTGGAAAGAAGCCTCAGCATGTAGAATCATAACTCTCAGTAAGAGGAGGGCCCTTAAAAATCATCTCGTCTCAGAGAAAGTGCATGTAAGTGCACATACCGAACCAATGGGTAAAACGTTGACAACTGATGAATGTGGACAGAGTGTGCAGCTGTTCTTTGTACTGGTCTTGGTTTTGCAACTATTGTATTAATGTCTATAAATGAAAAACTTAAAAATTATTTATAAATAAAAAGTTTATTTCAAAAGGCCAAAAGAAAAAAAAATACATGTTGTCCAAAGCCGATTAGATCTTTGAAAGTGATTCTTATGCCAACCACGGGGTCGTCCCGCCCGTACTTCATCGTTTCGGTGACAGGGAGTGCAATCTTACGAGGCAGCTATCCACAAAGGTTAATTTTCTTGTTGTTGTTCAGCCAAAGTCAGTGTTCCTTGAATTTCCACCCATCAATCCTGGTTCTTCCTTTGGAACCACGGAGAAGGACAGTCCCTCCTGGACAAGAGTGCCACTGAGCGTGTGAAGGTAGCGGCCCCTCCTGGTCTTGTCTTCTCCGCCGCCGTTTTAAGTGTATCCTGCTCATTCTTTTTGCTCTCTAGTGGATGCACGGCTGCTTACCAGCATCCCTCTTAAATCGGAGGACCCAGAACCAAACCTGAAGTCACTCCACGTATGGTCTGGTGAGAAACGGTCAGCCCCACGGAACAGCCTCCAGGGTTTGCCACATGCCTTTGCTACCTTTCCAAGTGGGCCTGTCCTCTCTACCTGCTTTCCAGGTGTCCCAGGAGGAACAGGTGTGGAAACCGAGTCCTGTTGGTGGCCTTCGGAAGCCCCCCTGTGAGACATGCACCCCAGGGCTCACCTCACTTCATCCCTGCACCCTGGGGCAGCTCCAGCGGTGGCCTCCAGCAACGGCAGGTGGCAGAGTGTTGTCACAGTCCTGGGAGCCGTCCCCCTGCACCTGTCGCTTGCTCAGCAACGCCCACACACCCGCACTCTGAGTGCCCTTCCTTTAGCCAAAGGCTTTGATTCCCATCGAATTCCTATTCCTAGCGGGAATAATATTTTAAACCATTCTCCATCAATTACACTGCACTAGGACTGCATTTCAAATTTTTGTGAGAAATAGTGGTTTTGAAAGAAAGGAAGTGTGAGGAAATTGGAGATACGAGAATGTGGGAGGGAAGCGAAAGACTAGGCAAGCAAGGGAAGCCTGAGAACAAACTGCCCATGCTTGGAGCTGCGCAGGTGCCGTTGGGGTTTCTGAGCTGTTTTATAGGCGATCAGTGTCCCAGGCATTGTGCCAGGTTCTCTGTAAGCAGCTTATTTATCCTCAAAATAACCCTCTGAGGGAGGACCCACTATTGGGCCTATTTTATTGACAAGGAAACTGAGGTTGTCTCCAAAGCTCCTATGAAGGTGAATCAACTAGGGAGTAATTTAGTCCAGCAAACCACATATAGCAACTAGTGTGGGGCAAAGGAAGTTATGTGTGAAAATTTTGCTCCTAAAAATGTAAGTTATTTGTGAAACCTTTGCACACATGCTCTGCTCAATACCTGTTACTCATATGGGAAAAGAGGACAGCACAAGGCAGTGAATGGTTTTCTCCAAATGAGGACCAAAAATACATTATGTCGACATATGGTGTTCAAATCAAACCATATTTAATTTCATTGACTTAGAGTTTTTAAAAATTAATTGGACATTCAAATACACATTTGTTTCAATTCGTGGTGTTTCAAATGTCTTGTGATTCTTTCAAAATATGTATCTGCTAAGCTCATTG